CTCTTCCGACACTTTCTGCGAACCCTGAAAGGTGGGACAAAGCTTACATTAAGCCTAGTGTTGCTTTGGATTCGCTTTTCGGCAAAAACTGCCCTTGGAGCTGTTCCAATAGCAACTGCAATTGGATGTTTGTGTCTGAAACCCCGAAAAGGAATGGGTGGGTGTGAAAACGAGGAATGAGATTCATCACGGTTAAGTTTAAGGCCCGTGTTGTGCAGGAGGTGAGCGAGCTTCCCCGTAAGCAAAGACGGGGTTTCACGGGCTGGGCTGCCGCCCCAGCGAGCACTGGTGTTCTCAGCGGGTGCCTGTGGAGCGCGACGGTGCGTGCAGCTCGGCGCACCCCTGCGTGGGGCGGTCAGCCTCCGAGGGAGCTGCTGGCTGGAACGGCCAACAGCTAACCTTGTGTCGGTAAATGAACGGGAATGGCTCGGCTTCGCTGGGGAGCGCGCTGCTTTTCTCACTTTGAAGTCAGTGAGACGGGTGAGGGATGGAGTGTTGGTCTGAAACTCTGTTCTGGGAAGAAATGGAAGTTGGGAGGGAAAATGATGTTGGACCTTACTGGCATTTGTGAAGAAAGCAGCCGTTTATAACAGCAGGAGACCCTCGTCTAGAGGCCTGGCTGCCCAGAAGGAATACAAGTACTTTGGTTCTGCTGGCTGCATGGACAAAAATATAGGATTTTAGTCACAGGACAGAAAAGAGAGGAGGCTGAAACTTTCTTTTTAAAATCTGAGGCCCCGGGTCCAGGAGCTGAAGAAGGATGCCGTGGTGGGCAGCGATACGCTGAAAGGCAGAGCAGGTGATGATACGGGTTTCACCCAGTGCTTTGTTCCTGTCCCTGCAGGCAAGGAACCCCCCGTGATAACCAAAGAGCAGTTTCTCTGGACGATTCAGGTCGCTGCAGCTGCTGAACAGTCCTGGAGAAACGGATCTGCTGTTGACTTGCGCAATGAAGCATTAGATTCATCTGTAATCAAGACGGAGATAATGTGATGCACGCTGCTGGGTCCTGAGGTGAAGGATAACCGTTAAGCTCTGCTACAGTGAGGTCGTTCCACCTGGTGATGTCTCCACTGTAACCTGATAGTAAGACTTGCGGTTTTGATGTTTCCGCCGGGAATGCCCAGAAGTCGGAGGCACTTTTGAACAAGAGGCGCTCAGTGCTGAGGCTGCGGATGTTTCTTAACGTGTCGGTCAGAGCCCTGGAGTAATTCTGGGCAGTTTCATCCCGGCGGCTTTTCCTCCTGGAGAGCTCTGCTGGCTGTGGAGCTCTGTTTCCCTGGGAGAAGACCAGTGCTCCTCAGGCTGTGGTAAGGTGGTGTAGACCACCACCAGCCGTGATGGGAACGGTGCAGGTGAGTGGCTTTCATGGCAGCATCGCAAGCGAGATGACATAACGCTCCAAAAAAATACAGGAGCATCCGATTGGTCCATGCTCATTTCCCTTCAATATACACAGGAATGTGACTTCTATGCTGAACTCGCCTCTGGGCCTCCTATTTATTGTTTTGTTTGTTTTTTTTACTGGTTTTGTAAATCTTTTTGAAAAGAAGTGATGATCTAACTTTCTTGAGGGGTGAGGAAAAGAAATGAAAAAGCAGAGAGGGAGAGCTGCAACCGTCCCGACGTTAGAGAGATGAGAGACTTCGTAGTAAGGCCATAAATTAAGGCTATTCCGAGGAGGAACAACGCGCTTGGGCATTTCGGTAATAAACACTGCATTATTAAAGGGGTTTTTCAGAATGCAATCTGTGAATTTGGACAGGGGCCCTGTACAACATCTGATACTGGGACATGCGGCTGCCGGTGGGTTGTTCCGCGCCCGGGCTGAGCGGTGGCCGCGTTGCTCACTGCAGCAGCAAGGAGGAGGCTGCTGTTTTCCTGGCTTAAATACAAATGCTGGATGTTAACGTTTCAGTAGCAAAACTGAACTAATAATCATGTTCTTGGAGTGTAGGCAGGACATCTGATTACGTGTTTCAAAGGTAATGTTTTTTACAGTCCAGCAGATCTGGAATACACACCACAGAAAAACATAGTGCCTTCAACAACAGGCGAGTCTGCTTTTCAACCAGGTTCTTTGTTCCTTTTTATTCTTGTGTTGAGCTTATTGCAGATGTATAGATCCGACTGTTCTTGTCTGTTTCTCACACGCGGGTTTTCAAGGTAGTTGAAAGCTTTTTTAATTGTATTAAAATAACGTTCTCGCCTTGAGTGTTAGTTTATAAACAACACTTCTTGCAAGATTCTTTAGTTCAATCAATTTCCAGTTCCTACAAACGCAATATATATTACTAAAACTAGAAATAGCGGTGACATTTGTAACTAAAGACAGTTCTTTCACGGAAATTGTTTTTAACGGTGTAATTTTTCAAACTCAGAAAAGCTATGTCTTAACGATAAAGATTGCTATCAATTTCGTTCTCTATTTTCTAGTCATTTATTGAAAAACAAAAAAAGTTCTAGCCATGAAGGAGTAGCCGTTTGCCTCTTTGTGTTCACTACAGCAATTTATTAGCAGCAAGCGGCTTTCTTTTCCTTTTGCCGGGGTTTCCAGGCTGGCTGTGTGCAGGCGCGACTCCTGCGGGGTGTCCGCCTCCCTCGGAGCGGCGCTGGGAAGGGACGGCAGCGCGGAGCTTTCGGGGCGGGGGGAGGCTGCTGGCGCACGGGGAGCACACTGCTGGCACTCCCCCAGACCAGTAACCCCAGTCGCAGGGGAGAGCTCCCCACTGCCTCAGCCTGACGTGGGTGAGGAGCAGAGGGCCTGTTAGCGGCACTCGTGCTTTGGCAGCTGCTCCTGCGCCGAACCCCGTCTCTTCGTAGCTTCGTGGGGGCGCGGTGAAGCAGAGCATCTTCAGACCCTTCCAGGTCTTACGCTTTAAGGCTTATGCTGGAATAGGAGGACACTTTCCATACAATATAAGCAAGACTTTAGTTGCCAGATGTTACAATTCCCACATGTGCTTTTATTGTGTTACAAAAAAAAAAAAAAAAAAAGAAACCACAGCTATAAAAATAACACATTTTCCAAAGATAACATTACAAAAAATACCATTCATACCGTGGTTGGAGTGTATCAGTTAATACTGCCGGAAGAAGCCTTAGTTAACATTGAAAACATGAATGATTGTTTCAAAACCTTTAAAGCATTAAAGTGCTTTAATTAGCTGTTATCTTAGGACATAGGTTCACATTTCAGCAGCGCCAAAGCAGTCGGGTTCCTCCGGTGTGGTGTGGAGGGGTGTGATGGCCCGAGGAGGGTGTGCGCGCACCGGGCTCAGCCCCGGTGGGAGAGCAGAGCGGAGCCCATCGCCGGAGGGGGAGGAGGCCACCTCCCGCGCGCCCACGGCTCGGAGCTGCTGGTGGACACCCAGACGAAGGCGGTGGAGGGAGGACCTGGGCCCGGGGACGGCTGTTATGGCACGTATGGAGTTCACGCTCGTTTTCCCAACGATCCTCCCCTTCGAGTGGGGACAGATACTGACCTGAAAGGAGGAGAAGGCGCATCTCTGGGACGAGCCCCGAATGTCGTAGCTGGGAATTGAGCTCTGGTTAGAGCGTCTGGGGCTTTCCCAAGGGTCTCCAAGCTCCTTCCCCATCCCAGGGGAGATGGGAAATAGTTGTAGGTTTGCCTCTGGAGGTCTCCATCGCAGAGGCAACGCGGGGAGGAGGTGCAGGAGTGGAGAGGTGCCTGGCAGCGTTGTTTCTGCATGGATGCCCTCAGGCTGCCCAAAATCTCGAGCGACCCGAGGTTGAGGGGCAGATGAAGCAGCTCTCTGCCCTCCCGCCCTCCCTCCGCACAGCCGCAGCCCCTCTGATGCGCCTTTCGGAGACCTCTTGTGGGATGTCGCCTCTCAAAGCGTGCAGTAGGGGAGGGAGGAGGGAACACACCTGCTTGTGTCCTGGCTTTCTGCTGAGGCTTTTTTTCAGCCCGAATCAACAGACAAATTATGCCTGGAAAAAAATGACCAGGAACAGAAAAAAAAACCCTGGAGAGCCCTCACGTGGCCGCCCAGTCCACCTCCTCGTTCCATAGTGGGACCAAATTTACGCCTCCCGTTTTCCCGCTCACCTGTCTGCAACCCCCCCGGGGGGAGCCGGGAGGGATTATCCAGAGCTCTGCCCCCCCGGGAGGAGTCACCGGCTCACCCCCTCCCCTGCAATTGCCTGAAAGAGATTCAGAGGAGGAAAAAAAATTGAATTTTGAATAGATAAGGCTGGAGACATGATTTTCGGCATGTTTACATGCTAGAACATGAAATTAATTTACTTGACACTATAGTGTCTCAGGAGTAAGTATCAATTTTTATAGCTTACATGAAAATAAATCTTTTTTTCCTTACAGCACAATGAGTATACTGTATGTACATTTGCTTCTGTTTATATACACAAATATTTAGGTACATGAACACATCAGGAACTGACAAACAGGTTCTTTTCTGCTCTACGAAGAACTGAAGGGAACGGGTACTTTTTGGCAGTCCGTCGGGAAAGCAGTTTGTGTCGCTTTGCATCAGTCACTGGCAGATGTCTGCACGGAGAAGGGAAGGGGTGAGGACTGGTCCTCAGCGCAGGGATGAAGAGCTCTCGGTTTGGACACCACGGAGAATGCGGAACGGGGGTAGGAAAGCGGTAACGAAGGCTGCTCTCGGGGAGAGGAGAGCGTGTCGTCCTTACGCCACGTCTGCCGGGTGATTGGATCCTCCCTTAAAGCACAACCCAGCGTAAAGCACCGGCAGGTGGAACGACCGCGCTGCGTTGGGTGACCCGGCTCGGCCGCCCCCTCTGCCCCTCGGCTCTGCCCAAGCCACCGCGGGTTCCTCGCCACCTCCGGCACGGCTCGGGGATGCGCTTTCTCACATCGCTTGCAGTTCCCCTCCGGACAACAAAATTAGACTTTTCCAGACACCCGAGGCTGAAAATATTTTTCAGGGGGGGTTTCGTTTCCCCCCCGGTCTCGGGCTGCTGCCTCCTGGAGACCCTCAGTTGATCTCTCCCTCCGTGAATTCTTCCTTTATGGACTGTTTGCGAGATTTGCAGTCCGGGAGGTCGAACCCAAAGTCTGCCCACTCGTCGGCCCCGCCGCGGTTGGGGATGGTGATGGTGTGGCGCACGCGGAAGTGCACGGCCTCCATGACACGCTGCCGCTGCAGCTCGCCCGAGCTGCCGATGGAGATGGTGGAGGCGTTGCTGCTGGAGCGGATGAGCTGCTGCGCCCCGTAGTCGTGGCTCTGTTTGAGCTCCTGCAGACCTCTCCAGATGATCATCCTGTACTGCTCCGGGATCTTCAGTGCTCCGAGATCCTGGAAGAACAACGCTGCTGAGGCATGGCCGGCAGAGACACGGCTGTACCGGCGGGAGTGAGCCCCGGACCCCTGAGCTCGTGCGTCAGGGGGTGCACGTGGGCATGATGCCACCCAGTGGTGGCGGGGCTGGACCTGCCCTGGGACGTGGCACCGAGCCCACGGGTGCATCCCCTGCGGGCCAGTCCTCCTGCGTAACCAACGGCCAGTTACCCAAACTGCAGCTTTGCAGGTTAGAAATTTTGGTTGGTTTTTTTTTTTTTTCATTTTTGGGTGGGTTCACATCAAACCGATGTGACAGTGGGAGGGAGGGGATCTTTCCCCTTGGGACGCAGGTTGCAGAGCACCATGAGAAGCGTCCTCGTGTCTGTTCCCCCTGGGCGAGGAGCCGTCGGCCACACTGGCTTCTCTCCCGCTCCGGGACCGGGGGGGTTTTTCTGCACCCGGGGACCGGTGTCGCGCAGTGATGCACCGGTGTGTGCAGCGGCGGGCGGGTACCGCGCTACGGGCTGTGGGCGTAAAGCCAAAGGAGGTCGATAACCTCCGGTGTGCGGGTCCCTCACCAGAACGGTCACCCTCATAGCGGAGAGCTGCCAGAGATCCACGTTAATGCCGAACACAGAGACTCACGGGAGCGTTAACCAGAGCAGACAGCGAGTATGCAATTAGTAATTACAAATGCCGACTCGGACACACAGCTCAGCACCCTGATACGAGTTTTGGCCATACCAAACGGTTCCTTTGACAGCTCACAGATGGTCACGGAGTTAGTTCAGAAAATGGTCCAAAACCAGACTAAGGTTACGCAACTGGCCCCAGCTACCAATGAAAAATCATCGTGTCTCCATCAGCTGCATCGCCCACGTGTGGCCTCGCGGTCGCCGTACCGGCCAGGCAGGCGACCGCGCTACAGACTGCCTGGGGGCACAACGGCGTCGGGGCAGGAGCTTCGGCTCAGCCGAAACACGGACTCTGGGATTCACAGGGCTTGCTACAGCTCAAAGGCATTAACATTTTTGGTTTTTTTCCTTTCTTCTCATCACCCTGATGGGCCGGAGAAGCCCCTGCCCCGGTGCCGCGCTCGGTATCGCCACCGAGAGACCGCGCTTTAACCGAGAACGGCAGCAGCAGACACTCCGGGCAAGCTCAGGCATTTCTAGCATTCCCTCTACCGTTTTTCACGCCGGCTTCTGCCTGACCTGGGCTATTTCATTCCAGGGTTCCCTTAATACCAGTGCCCTGGGCTTAACTCCCTTCTTTCAGCCTCTTTTGCCTTAAAGATTAACAGGGGAAGAGGTAGGATCAGATTTAAACCTCCCTGAAGCGCAGTGGAGGTGTTCCCGCGGGCTCAGCGGGTGTTGGGGTATTTTGCTGAGCGCCTCAGACGGGTTTTCTGTGTCTGGTGGAAAATCTACCTGAGGTCTGGTCTGGGCATCTTTTAGCTCTTTTGTTTTTGACAGTCTGGAAGAACCAGTGGAGACCACCGTGGTTGCTACCGGTGACTGAGCTAAATCTGAGGGACCAGAAAGGATGCGTAAACGGGAAGGATAAATCCTGGGGAGCACATGTTCTGTGTGACGGGTTGGTGCACGGGTTTCCCTTTCCTTTAAAACGCTTTTGTCCTTTTCAGATCAACAGCTGATAGAAACAAGTGGTAAGAACAGATCTTCCCAAAGCATTTACCTCTATGGATAGGTTCTGCAGGTGGTAAATATTCTGTAACCCTTGTGAGGTGAAATAGTCGATGCAGTTTGGACACCCCAATCCTGTCAAAAAACTGCAGAAAAAATTTGGAAAATAAAGTGGCGTTAACTTCTCATGAACAAAAGCTGTGCTCGCAACCATCACTGCGGGGGCAAACCGTGTCTGGGGTCACTGCAAAGGCTGCGGGGAGTTCGCCCCACGGCGCTCCGGCCCTGCCTGCTGCCGTCCCACGGGTCACCTCCGCTGCCATTAACGTCAAAGCGAAGCACGGGACGATGTTCATTCCTAAAACTACACTTTTTCTGCTGCTCCTCAGAGGTTTCAGCTGAGTAACTTGCTGGGAATAAGCGGGGGGAGCGGGGGACGTGCCGGAGCGCGGGCAGCCTGGTGGGGCAGGGGGGGGTTGCGCATCACCCCGGACTGCAGCTACGCACCTCTCCTCGAACTGCTTCGCCGGGGCGCCCGGCGGAACGTCGGTGGCCTTTTTAAAGACTGAACCATTTAAAAGTGGCTGCAGAGCTGCTAAGGCGTCCCTGGTGAAAATGAGCCACGGGCACCGCTCTCCAGACGCTGCTGGCGAGGAGGGGGCAGGGGGAGGGTCCCACAGCTACGTGCCGGTTTGACATGCAGGAAAAGACTCGTTTGGATGCTTTTAATTTTCGCTTCAGCAAGGATTACCCAGATGGATGTATGTGAGGGCAATCGGGGTGTCTCTAACTGGGAGGTAGCTGGGCTTTGGTGTCTGAGATGAGAAGAATGGTCTGTGCGATTTCGTGAGCAGTGATTTCTCAGTGGGGACCAGTGGCCAGTTGACCAGTTGCTAGACAGATCGGAAGGTTAGACTGAGGGACGACAGCAAGAAACGTCAGAGGACAAGACAGACAGAGCATCGGTCGCCTTCCCTACCTGACGAGGCTGGGATCGGGGTTGTAGGGCGGAGGGGGGGTGCAGTGGGATCCGGAGACCATGGACTGGGATGAGTGACCCCCGTTCATTTCTCCGTTGGGTTGCATGGGGTGACTGTTCAGCATCCCGGGTCCTACGCGGCGGCGATGACAACGCAACAGACAGATCGTTAGATGTCAGCCCACCCGGGACAACCAACCGCGACCACGGCAGGGCCCCTGCCGTCCGACGGGCGGGGAGAGCCCCTGCCAGCACAGACC